AACTCGATTGAATACCTACGAAAACTAAACAAATAAATGATGAAAAACGACCGACTGGAATAATTTATTTTCCACTTTTATAAACATCCTGCCTAGCCTCGTGTTCCTGTCTCAGATAATATAAATGTCCCTGCAACTTCCCAATACACAGGAATATGGCATTAAAAAAATGCACACTGATGCAGTTTGACTTGATCTTCTTAAGGTAAACCACAAATGTTTCTTCTGGGGCCAAACAGTTAATGGTCACCATACTTGCATTGGATGTAGACTGCACTGAAGTGAATATGTTTCAATCAGAGCATGGAGGTAAGATATTAAATCTATAGCCTTGAATTAATACAATAATTATTGGTGCACAATCTCACATCCTTGTCAGTTAAATTCTTGATTCAGAGATTCTTAACAGACTATCATGCATTGGAAAGATATTCTTTGAATACCTGGGTAATGATGTTTCTTACATGAACCCCTTTAGCAGAATTGAAGTTGTGCAGCCTGTCTGGTAGTACAACAGGTCGTGCCTCCCTGTCTCTGGCAATTTAGCGTTGAACATCCTCTTCGTCAACAACCATTCCATTAATTTCACAAAAGGTATGTAACACAAAACATGCATACACTATGTTTGGCACATCTTTCAGTCCAATGTCCATCCTCTTGTTCAACACCTGCCACCTTGCCTTAAGCCTACCATATGCACGTTCGATTGTATTCCTAGCAGACCGAAGCATATTGTTGAAAATCACTTCTTCATTACTTCTGGGGCTGGAGTACTCTTCATGCAGTATGGTAATAAAGGATATGCTGGATCACCAATAAGAATCCCTGGGACTTTATGATCACCTGGCAAAAGTCTCTTGTACATCATAGGGAGTTGTTCTTCTCAAACATTCTGTTGATATGGGACTGAGAAAAGATTCTAGCATCATGAAGACTGCCTGGCCACCTGGCATCGACATCAATGAACTTCGCACTACTGTCACAAGCCCCCTGCACATTAATAGTGTATTTCATTTTGTAGGAGAAAAAGTCATATGCATTGTCACTGGGTTGCTTTATGGGAATATGTGTTCCATCAATACAGGCAAAGGCCTGTGGAAATCCAAACTTGTCTTCCATTTTCTTGAGAAGTTGGCCCATTTCTTCTTCAGTGGTTGGTAATGCAATATACCTTGGCCCCAGTTCCTTTGTCATCAAGGAACATACCAAAATATTAAAAAAAAAAAAAATCAATTAAACATAACTTTTTATAAACCTTGGCACCAGTTCCATGTACACACCTTGCGCACCACAACAGATCGGGTACATATTGCCACGCTGAAACTATTAGCAGTCATTCGCAGAGACCCTTGATCTTTCAAGTAATGTAGTGTCATTGCCAGCTGTTTCTCCACACTTCGCACATCACCAGCTCTCGGGCAGTCTTCACGGGGCTCTAAAAAAGTAACGCAGTTCGTCAGCCACAGACATGAAGACTGCAGGCGTCATTCGTAAGTTTGTTTTCCATTCGTGGTCTGGTAGCTTGCCTGCCCATAGATTTGTCCAGCACTCCTCCGTTCGTCCTTGCGAACGCCATAATCTGCGAGCAGGTCCACGGCTGATCTTACTCATTATAATTTTTAATGGGAGAGTTGAAAAGACTGGCCCCCGCTCCGCGGACTACCCCACGGACTACTGTGAGGACTACCGGCACGGCGGACTAAACTAAATAATCAATCAAATTTACTTCTACGGTGGAAGAGACACAAGCCAACCTGCTCAACCTGACTAGCTAGGGACAGCGCGTCACCCAACCAAAAATATGGACTGCGACTAAATTGCCAGAGGACCTTTCGCGCCTAATAAATTTTTAAGGGACGAGAAAACCTGGTAGCTGGTTTGGAACGCGTTGTAAATATTTGTGAATTGGCTGGAAAATAAAAGTATTATTAGTCTCGAGAGAACATTGATCAGAATGTCTACTCAAATACGACAAAAAACCGCTCCTCTGTTGTATCACAGGGAAAAGCAATGGTTCTCTGAACGATTCAATACACCTGACACCAAAGTTGAAATCGACTCGGAGGCAATTGGACGGTTTCAGAGGCTGATCTGGGAGGATCCAAAGTGATGATATATTGCCAACTCTTGGTAACTACTCAGGTCAAGAAAAATAATCCTTCTCCTACTGGGCAGAACGCCTCTTCTAACTCCGGTAAACCTTCTGCGCACTATTATAAACTTCCCTATGTTGGTCGGTTTTCGAACATCGCTCAGACTAAGTTAAGACAACTACTCAAACGTTATTGTAGAGCTGATTTAGATGTTAAGTTAGTCTTCAGTACGTTTAAACTCAGAAACATGTTCAGTGTGAAAGATTCAGTACCGCTAGGTCTACGTTCGCGTGTCATATATAAATTTTCATGTGCTGGCTGTAATGTCAGTTATATTGGTGAGACCACTCGCCACATTTGTACACGAGTTCGTGAGCACCTCTTGTCGGACAAAACTTCGCATATTTACAAGCACCTGCAATCATCAAGGGCCTGTCTTGACTCTTGTGATACTGAATGTTTCACGATCTTAGATTCTGCCGCTTCAAAATACCAAATTAAGATCAAAGAGGCATTGCATATTAAGTGGGAAAAACCTATCCTTAATCAGCAATTGAAACATCTAGAATTGTCTCTTTCCTTTTAATTATGTTGTTCCTTGGTCTTTTAATTTATTTTTATTATTATTACATTTATTTTTTTTTTATTTATCTATTTATTTTTTGATCTAGTCAAGCGCGCGCTATTTACATCTTTCGCGTTTTTAACATTCAAATGTAACGTAAGCCCTGACACGTAGTTTGTAACATACCTTAATTTAAATTCAAATGTACAACAGTTAAATGCTCATTTGCGACTGAAGATGACATGAGAATGTCGAAACATGTCTTGTAAATTTAAACTCAAAGTTGTTGTTTCTTTTTTGAGAACTAGAATTGTAAAATGCAATGTCCGGCAATTCAATCTAAACCTAATCCAAAAAGACAGTGACGACGCTAAAAGTGTTCTTCTCTGGGTTAGTGAGATACAGGCAACCGAGTTTGATTCCGTTTTGTGTTTTAAAAGCCAAGGGGATACATCGCCATTTCCAGGCGTAGAGGAGAACGACTTCCTTTTGGGCATGCAAACGCAATTTAAAAAAGAAATGTTTAAGGACTTTGTGCACAAACTGGTTTGTATAGATGCTACCCATGGCACCAATAGTTACAACTTCCAGCTGATTACTGTAATGGTTGCCGATGATTTCGATCAAGGAATCCCAGTAGCACGGCTAATTTCCAACAGAGAGAATGAGGCAGTGCTGTCGGCTTTCTTTTCTGCCATCAGAGAAAGATGCCGTGACATCAAGACAGATTTTTTTAGGAGTGACCATGCCGACCTATACTTCAACGCGTGGGCACGTTCGTTCCAAAAACTAGCAAAGAAACTCATACGTAGTTGGCATATTGACAGATCCTGGAGACGAAAACTAAATGAGTGCGTAAAAGACAAAGAGGTATATGATTATTGATTGTCTTTTTATCTTTTAAATGCGTACATGTTATTACCATATTACTTAGATTAAAGCAATGATACCCTGAAACAAAGCTTTTGTCAATTATCACGCCTATGTTCACTATTAGTACCCAAATGTTTAGCGCTCCATAAGTGAAATATAGAACTCATATGTTGGGACTAGCTCCTGCTTGACTAGATCCCCAGAAAATCTTTCAATAATGTACCATTTATAGATAGATTTATTAATAAAATTATACTTGCAGCGACCCTCGCCTGCTAAAAAATATACTTGAATAGAAATTTCACCATTGTAGGTCGTCGCAGAGGTATACGGAGCACTAAAAAATTTACAGCTGGAGGTGAGCGAGACTACATTTAGACGCAATATTCAAAAATTCCTATCTTGGGTTAGGGGTCTGTCAATTCCAATGGCAGAGAACTTCGAGAGAACTTATTTAAACAGAACAAGAGAGTGGGCATCATGCTACCGAATTGGTACACAAGCAAACACAAACATTTATGCCGAGAGCTTCCATAATGTATTGAAAGAAATCTATCTTGAGAGGAAGCAGAGCAGGATAGACCACCTTCTTTACAAACTGCTGAAAATTGCAAGAGATAAAGCGTTTGATCAACTTATTAAAGCAGAAAAGGGTAAAATCACAACAAAGTCAAGAGAAAGTACAAAGAGGCACGAAAAGGCAATGGAATTAAAGGTGACAGAAAAAAGAGAAAACTAATGGGAAGTGCTGTCTTCCGATGAAGGAGGAAAAGCTCACAAAGTACAGAAAGTGTCTTCAGATGCTTGCACATGTTCCATAAAGTGCCCTCTTTGTTCTGCCAGCACTCATACATTCAACTGTACATGTATGGACTTTGCAACTAGAGGTGTGGTTTGTCAACATATCCACGCTGCAAGTATTACAGGACAAGATGGCAAAGATGTTGAGGCCATCATTGAAGATATTGAAGCCATAATGGAAGACGGAATAGAGAAGAAACCTCAGCGGCTGTCAGAGTTAATCCCAAAAAATTTCTTCAGCCACACATCAACTGAGGAAGCAAGAAAAAAAGACCTGAAGGAATTTGCAGGAACCTTCACGCTGATTTCCCTTTTCTGATTGGACGACGTTAAACAATGGCCAATTCAAAATATCTGCCTGGCACACGAGAATCTTGCTACGAATCCCCGATGCTCTAATACTGTTTGATTTTGATTTTCTTCGAGGGCTAGCTCCGGTCCGTTTGGATGGTTTTTCCATTAGAAGATACGAGGAGAATCGTGAATCTTTTGACCTTAATGCTGCGAAGTTTGAAAGCGGAGCGATGCGATTTTCGGGGGAAAAAGCACTCGGGCGCTTGAACCCTTTCAAAACAAGGTTTCCAGCCTTGTCCTTCTTTTATAAGTTACCTTCAACGACGAACTCAAACATTTTACCCACATCACAATTGTTCTCAGAAACCTGTGGTTCAGTAGTTGTTTATGGTAACTGGAGTACTTCCTGTAATTGGTAGTTCAGATCTTCTTAACTGATCGAGATGACGACGCCAAGTTGAAGTATCAACTTGTACTTGGTATGATACTGGACCGGTTTGTTTTGATACGATACCTTTGGACCAGAGATTACCTCTTCCATAATTTCTGGCTCGAACAGGTGTACCAATGTCGAAATGACGCATTTGTTTGGATGATGGTGCTGCGACAGAAGACTTTTCGACTGTACGGGTTATGTCTGGTTTTAAAAGGTCCAGGCGACAGCGGAAAGGGTGTCCCATCAGCATGACAGCTGGAGAATTACCAGTTGTAGTATGTGGACAATTGCGGTATTTCATAAGGAAAGTGTCAAGTTTGTACCTGAGACTTGCATTGCCTTTGTCACTCTTCAAAGCTTCCTTCATTGTCCTTACAAAGCGTTCAGCCAATCCATTTGTTCTTGGATGGTAAGGGGCTGAAGTAAGATG